TTACTCTTAGTAAAAAAAAATTCATAATGTCATGAGACTGCAGAGGGGGCTTAAGATAAGCCTGTGGGTGAGCTTAAGTGTTGATATGCAAAAGAATGCACTCTTATTCATATGAATCATATGTTAAAGCTAAAAGAGAGATGTACTCCCATAATTTCTTCTCTGAACCCCATTTCAGGTGAGACCTTTATGAGGGAAATGTGTTTTAGAATAATTGAATGGTATTTTTTTTTGCCCAAAGAGATAGTATGAGTTGCAATGTTATAAGCAGTAGTAGTAAAACTACCCAAAGATAAAAGAATGAATGTAGATGTTTAGTAATCTAAGAAAGGGGGATAGTGATGAGGCAAATCATGTTGTTGTAGTCATGTACCTAGTAAGTCATTAAGGATGAGTTTTCCTTTATGTGTAGACTAAAGAATAATAAATTTTTATGGAGTTCATGATAAAGGGTAGAGGAATACTTACAAGTTAGGATGAGTTTGAGTATACTTTAACTAGAAAGGAGTTCACGATGATGTTTCATTGTGTTAGTAGCGACCAAGTGTAAATGTTCAATAGAAGAGCAGGAGTATTCATGAGGTGATAACTCTAAGCTAGGCTTATTATTTTAAACAGGGAGACCATAATATTCAGAGGGTTACAGAGCTAATTAGGCAATGATGTATAGTGAATGAGTAAATATTACTTAAGTTGTGAAATGGAATGCGACAGTAATATGTAAGTATGTAGACTAAGAGATACAGATTGACTACTCGTCATGAGGTCTTAGTGGGCAAGCATTTCCTAATTTTATCTAGTATTCTTAAGTTAGTGTAGTAAGCGAGCAATTATATTGATATCTGTGTTTAGAAATAGACACTAAAATTGAATTTGAGATGAGTGGGGGGATCAAAAGAATGGAAACGTGAAGGTGATGATGTTGGTTTTATGATATGACCTAGTTGGTTTGACATAAATTATGTGAGGAATTAAGGTGTTTCTTTTCAATAAATGTGAGTGGTACTAGTGTGGTATTATGATTCTTAGATGAGAGCAATAAAGAGAGGCTAATTCATATGATTAGTAAGAGCATTAAGGGGTGTACCTGAGATTTTATGTAGTCGTACGAGGTTCTAATTAAGTTTATGACATTTTATATGTGCCTAGATAGTATAATTGAGTTATCAATGTGGGGTAGACTATCGTAAGAATTATTTATTACCTTTAAGAGTTTGGTCGAAGGGACTATATATAGACAATGATGAGCCTTCCAAAGATAGTTCAAGTTTCTCCAGTTATATTGTTATGAACTGAAAAGGACAACATTAGTGGGTTAAGAAGGAGAAGTCATACTATTAAGAGCAATGGCGGAGCCAGAAAATTTACAAAGGGTGTCCAGAAATAGTAGTTTGTTATGTTAAGGGTGTCAAAAATATGTTATTTAATCATTTCGTGTATTATTTTACTTATATATATGGTATTTTTTTTCCAACAAGCCACTGATTAACAGTTAGATTAAGTGGATTTATAAGCCTATGAGAATAGGTTAAAAAAAGCATCTTAGAAAGAAGCCCTAGAAGGAATCTTAGTATTTGGACATAGAGAGTTTTGTAGACATGAGATTAGCACTTTCCAGAGTATTAGAGTAAAGTGAATGTAGACTAGTTCAGAGATGGTTGAATCGACCTATAGCTTAAAAGTATCAGCTTTAAAACTAAGGGGGAGATGTTAAGATGAGAATCCAAGTCAAGTGTTGAGAATCAGATAGTTAAGTGTTAAGGTTGAGTAAAAGTTTTATGTCAATCCATTCATACTCTAGCATCATCCTCAAAGTCAGTCGTCACAACATAATGTTGATGCCTATTATATCAGAATTATGTTCATGACCTATACTCATACATTACAAACAAATTTACATCTATGCTTAGTTAACAAAATGAGGGGCAAAGACTTTAGCCCATTGATCTCAATCTTAATCTATCAAGTTATGGATATCAGCCTCATGATATGAACTTATTTATATTAGCACTCATGTCTCACAGTATGCTCAGTCTCAAAAATTTATGACTTATTCTCAATGGCTAGAAATATAATGTTATTCTATGCATATTCTTATATTAGATATCTTGAATAAGACGTGCTTATGATCTTTCTCCCTAAAGTCCTTCCAATGATCTGTATCAGTTATGTTAGTGACGGTGATGATGAGTAGTATTCCTAAAAGAGTGGGGTGGAAAGTGTTGCAAAACTTGTCATCTATCAATCTATTATTTAAGGCATTGTAGTTCTATTCTTACTTCGTGCTCAAATTCCTTTGATTCATGTAAAATAATTTCAGATTGAGTGTGACTATGTTCAAACTCATATCGCTCATGACTTATGTGCTCTAGTCCAGTTTCAAAACTATTATTATCAATCAGTCCCACCTATGTTAGTAGGCAAGCTCAGAAGTCTAGAGAGGTACTGATAGTAACTCTTTTCCCGTCCATTCTCAGCTTAACCATCATTCGAGGACGAATGATTTCAAGGGGGAGATATTGTAACACCCCAAAAATTTCTAAGATAAGACCCAAACCATTCTTGAATTGCGTATAAGGTCATACCGAGTGATTCTTAATTATTCTTAGATTCTTAGGTAAATTCATTAGTGTAGGAATGGTTTTTGATATGAATTTATATCACTAAAGTCCACTCGCACAAAATTAAGTTGAAGTATTCCTTACTTATTACGTTTTTAAATAAGATTCTACGTAGGTCAACTTTAAACAATCATATCTCCCAGCACAGAAAGAATTAGGTGACCCATAAACTATCAAATTAAAGGTCTTCGAGTCTTCTTTCCAACGTTACCAAGTTTGCCTCTCTCTAAATTTTGAGTAAAAAGATATAAATGATTTACTAGAGATGTTTTACGCTAGCAGCAACTCCGCGATGGATCCGCGTTAGTGAGTGAATACGGACCTCACTGTCCGCTAGAAAAATATCCCGACTTCTAGCTCATTTTATTTATTTTTGTAAGGGTATTTTAGTCCTTAAAACCTTAGGAAGTCATCTAAATTACCCTAAACCTCTAGAAAAATTAGTTTTCATAATCAAACCCTCTCATTTACTCCTAAATTTCTACGTTTAAAAACTTCAAGAAATGCTAAGGCTAGGGTAAATCTTCCATGATTTTCGTTCAAGTTTATTCAAGAACATTGTTCTTCCAGGTATGTGAGGCTTTTGATAATTATGGACTTGTTCGTCCTCACGCCAATCATGTAATCCTTTCATTAATTTTTCCAATAAATCATTTATGTAAAGATTCTTTAAGAGTTCTTGAGTGTATCCCAATTCTTTGACAATGGAGGTTTTGAGTTCTTGAGGTGAGGGTCTGGTGAATCAGTGGTGTTTCTCTAAAGAATTTGAGTGAAATTAGATTGAATTTTTTTTTGGTTTATGAATCAAAGAGAGTTTGGAAGAAAGCAATCGATTCTATATGAGTTAGGACCCGAAATGGAACAAGAAAATTCATCGGATTTTTGGTGTCTGGATGGGGCAATGCGCCAACAAAGCTTGAGCAGGGCTAGCACCCTGCACCTTTAATTCATCCCAAAGTACTCCCAGTACTCTTGGGGCTAGCGTGACGTGCCACTGATGCTTCTGGGTTTGCCTGGCCCTTTTATTCTCTATTTTTCTTCCCACATGTGTTCCTTTGAATCGTGTCTTTGTTCTCTTCTTGATATTAACTCTTAAAGTCTTCATTAATCCTTGAGAGAGTCTACATGTCCCACTCACATGTCTTCATTTACATTCCAAATCAACGTAAGATAAGAGGAAGTTTAAAGGATCTATTTTTCATAAAAACTTAAGAGCTTCAAATGTTTTTATATATAGGTATATATACGTACCTATGTTGATTATTAGGCTTGAAAGATAAGTTCATGAGTGCATTTTTAATAGTGTAAATATGTCTAATTTATAGAAGAGTACTTTAATAATTTAAAAAGCGCCTCCTTTTAAATGAGTGAATTAAGCATAAGGTTATATTGATTATTTTAGGAGTAGCATTGAGCACTGAATTTGTCTAGTCTTTTATAACTCAGAAGTCGCATAAACTACGTATCTAGCATAGGATAAGATAGCATTGATTCTTCATGCGACTCATTACTGCCTCTGAGAAGGCATATTAGATCGATCCATAATCACAATATCATCCTAAACCCCGACAAGGTATAGGATGGCCCTTGCAACGTGGGCGAAATGAATAATGCTAGCTCATAGTAATAGTTGTCGGTTAGAGAACTCCCCAAAAAGTAAAGTATATTATTTTCATGTTGCTTTCATTGCATATCACTACAAGAAAAATGACCTTTAGCGAAAGGAAATACCGTCGCTATAAGTCCAAATCCGATCGTTAAAGGTCGATAATGACCGGTCAAAAATTGGTCATCACCGGTCGTTAAAAGCTCCGTCGTTAAAGGTTAACGACCGGATTGCATGTCCGGTCGTTAAATATTATTTAACGACACCAATTAATCCGGTCGTTACACGTGCTTACAACGACCGAATTCCCCTTCATTGATGGTCATTTGGTCATTAGAACCTTCAAGTAAAACCACAAATTAGGGTTGTTATAACTAATTTTAGCGGCCAGAATTCTTGTCGTTGATTACAATACTTTTTAACAATCAAATTTCCCGTCACAAATTTCTATTTAAATTATTACATTTAATTTGTAGTTGTTATCTTTTCCATCATTTTTAAAAAGAACTAATATGATCAGTTCATATAAATTCTTTTCACATCCAATTGAAAATTTGATATAAAATTATATTGTTAAGAATAAAGAACACATTGATTTAATTACTAAAAACTTATATGTTCAACACAATATCTAAATAAAAAAGCATACACGTTCAACATAATAAAACATGTGTTCGACATCTATAAAAATCCTAGAAAATTAAGAAAAATGACATTAAGAATAACTACAGAAAACGTCTTTGCACCAACAATAAAAATATAATATTCTTTGTTGCAAGCTCCACATTATCTTTCACATGATCTTGTTCTTTAATCTTCAAAATCTTCATCTGTCAAAACAACAATTTGAAGCAAATTAATTAGTAACAGAAAAAAGTTTGAACTTAAGGATTAATTATCTTGAATAGTTCCTGATCTATTTTTTGATGTATACAACTAGAAACATATTTACAGTTCTAGTTCATGAAGTCTAGATAATTTCTCTACCCAACCTTCTACATTGAGGATCTCCACTGGCAGCCAGCAAGAGTTGTATTACTTTCACATTAACATCTCATATAGAGGGTGGTTGGTGCTTCCTCATTTAAATATTTATTCAAGTGAATGCTTCCTCATACCCCACCGCTTTCACAAATCCTGGGCCTCTTTCCAGTGTAATGGAAGGAAAGAGAGAGATTAAAGTGGACAGACATGAACAAAACACACATTAAAGTGCTTCAACAAAGAGAATGTAAATATACTAACATCAAATAAAGAAGACCAGAAATCCTAGTCCTAGTACTAGTACTGAAAGTTGAAGGAAAGAAAACATAGATAAGTTGTTGAAATGGTGAACGCAAGTGGATCAGCTGAAACAAGCTTGCAGCTGGATGACAAGCAGGAAGTTAGAAAAACTTAAACAACTAATTACCACAGTGGAGAATGAAACAAACATGATCAAATATATTTAAAGTTGCAGGGCAACAGAGAAAGGGTAATGTGGAAGTGTGTGATGTTTGAGATTAACTACTAATACTACAATAATAAAGGGCAAATTATATTGACAATGATATTATAGAGGACAAGGTCATACAAGGACCTAATCAGAGGAGAGTATCTTGTATTTTCTACCAACAACTATACACAGAACAATAACCATATTGATACCTACTTTTACATTTGAAGATGTTATAACAATCTCATTGGTATATACAGAAATGAACATAAAATCAATCTTTTAGCTTTGTGGATATTATAACTAAAGTGATACTGATTTTAGTTATATACATAAATGCTAGAGTGAGAATGCCAGAATATACAAAATATTTAAGATAACGCAATGCACTAAAGGAAAAGAGGTAACTCATAGCACTACTGCAATAACAAAGCCCTTATCAACGAGAAGCAACATCACTTCATTCACACCCAATACACAACATGTAATAATAACTAATAGTATGTTTACTAACCTGATGGAATTGATGGAACTGATGAAGACTGACGGATCACTATATTTTCAAGGTGTTCATATTTACTCTCTAGAATATCCATGCGTTTTTTGTAGTGATTCCTTTGCTTTTCGAGTTGTTTTCAGCTTTTCCCACAATGCAGCCTTTGAGGTGGTACCGCCTTTTAACTCCTTAGTTCTTATTCCACCACCAAATCCAACTACGTGACTTTTTGCATTGAGGTCCAAAGCACCTTTCCACTACCTTAATATTAGTAAGAGATGGTTCAGATTGTACAAGCTCGTGAATTTCAGCCTATAAAACATAAGAATATTTAAAATAATGCAATGCACTAAGTAAGAGTAAGAATGTTAAATGAAATTAAAATTGATATAAACATACATATTTTTCAACGGTTTCAGGTTCGATAAGCTCATTTCCCTTCTTACGTGTCTCAAAGAAAATAGTTGCCATGTTTGGTGGATTATCATCTTTGCCTCCCTTCACGATTAAAAAATAAGTCATAAGATATTTTATAGAAATAGGAGAGGTTTATTTATAGGGTTGCACAATTTATTTACTATTTCGTAAACAATCTCTCTAATAGGCCTGCTACCCGTACGATGAGGCATACACAACTTAGACCTATTGACTGAGTTTCTTGTACTTGCTTCCTGCATTAACAACACAACAACTGAAATTATCACAATCCTGTTTAATGATTCTATATTTAATGTGTACTTTTAAGCTCAGTGGGAAGAGGGTAAAAGAGAACAGAAGCACAAAAAAGCACCATTGCAATTTTCTTTGGTAGACCTTGTGGATAGAAGACATCAAAAAAAATTATCGAAATCAAAACTCAATTTGAACGTGGTATAAATTATTCCAAAAAACTAATCATATGTGACTAGAAATAAAATGATATTTGTTAATAACTAAATGAAGTCTTACCTTAAATTTCTCAATATGTTGCAAAACATTATCTCTTTGATCATTCATGTCATCACTGTCAAACTTCTCCTAAAATAGAAAAAATACCATCAAAATCTCTTGAATAAGGGAAAATAAGGCATCAAAGTATAGATCACCTAATAGGTAGTAACCTAGAAATTTTAGGAACAGAAATCAAAATTTCAAATAAATAACAACCACAAGTTGTCTGTTTAAAACCTATAGCTTACTCACATCACTATTGTATAGTGTTTGAAATAGCGTTAAGAGTAAAATAGCGACACAAGCGAGTTGCCTGAAGCATGACGTGAAGGAACATAAACTACTATAATAGAATCCTAGCAATCCGATCTTGCTGGAGAAGAAATTGAACTTAGCATAAATTTTAGGAGATCACTAAGCTTAGCTAGTTCAATTATATTATAGAGAAGTAAAGCCACATGGATTTGACCAGGTAATGACTGTACACGTTTATTAATCAAGGTTGGGCAAGGACAAATACATCATGATCAGGAGAGATAATAGATGAAGCTTTTGTTAGTTATCACTAGTCTCTATGTTATGTGATTCAATAGTAACATAATATTTCTTCTGCTTGAAAAGAAAGTAAGCCACAATAGTAGCATAATTAAAAAGGAAGTGGCTAATGGGAGAAAGAATGAAAAAACCCAAGGACTTTGTAAGTGACAACCTTTAACAATGGCTCAACAGTCTGATGGTTTTGGTTGTTTATTCTTTAAGATGCTTCATGTATTGTAGTGGATGGAGATACTTTTCATGTTGTACATGACATTTTCAGAATAGGGATGCTGTTGAAATAAGTAAATGCTACCATAATTTAAACTACCCCTAAGGTCTCAACATTGGCCAATGTTAGTCAATATAGACCTACTTCATGTTGTAATATGATCTACAAGTGTATATCCAATGTGTATTCAACTAGCAAACAGAGATTTATGGAGATACAGTGAGAAAGAATAAGATTTGTGTTGATCAACCTTATTTAAAAGACCCCACTCATCTATTTATGTCATGTCAATGGAAAAAAGAGTTGTGGAGGAAAGTTACAGGTGGCTGGGTATTAGTAGCTCAGGCAAAGTCAAGAAAAGTGGAAAGTCTATAATGGATCAACCAATTACACTAGACCAAGATCAAGAAGTAGATTGTGGCAGGGCAATTATGGAATTGTGATTTACTCCATATTACATAACAAAAATTAAAGATTCCTTATCTTTGTGGTTCAGCTTCTTGGACAACGGGAAATACTTTGCCATGAACACCTTATAAAACTGATCCTATGTGTGAGTTGAATTATATAGAAGCTTAGAAAACCACACTGCAGCATCACCAGTCAATGATAGAGGGATTACTCTCAACCCTATGACGTTCATGTCAAACTCCGATCGGCCCACACAACTCTTGCAAACACTCCTCAATTTAACCATCTGCCCATGTGGATCTTCCAAAGCTAGACCAGAAAATAACCCTCTTGTCATAAGCATCTGCATCAGACTGCTGGTCACCACAAATGTATGCCCTGGAGGTAGAGGAGGGAGAACAATAGGACATTCAAATTCAACAATATTGAAGTTGACCCTGTAGTTATCACGCAACCTTGGTTCTGACGGATTATGTACCCTCAATGCATCATCGCGTAGATTACCACCACGAACCCGAGCATTCTCATTATTCACTCCATCCTCAGGCTCCTCTATGACCGAATTATTATGGACTCCAGGATTTGCCATTTTTCTCAAAGTTTTGCTTAGTTCAGGGTCGTACAGGGTCAATGGTTTGCCTCAACTCCGTGTACTTGGCATACACTAGAGTAGAAACTTGTAGAAAACAAAATCAAAAGAAAATGTAAAATCAGGAAATAATTGACTAAAGTTCAATAATATAGTTAAACTTAATCTAAAAGCCTCATTCCCTGGCAGCGGCGCCAAAATTTGATACGCTCAAATTACACCTCCCTAAAGAAGCATAAGCGACCGTTGTCAAATAAAGAACCCAACTTGTAGGTTAGGTCGATCCCATGAGGAATAAGGACTAGACTTAAACTTAACTCACTATTATATCAGTTTAGTCCATTTATTTCTGAACCAAGTAAATAAATGGGGGATTTGTGAAACAAATAACTGATTGTTGTTTAAGTAACAAGTGAGCAAGATTCAAACTTCGAGTTATCAATAAGAGAGAGAAACTAGGGTGTATGTGCTCCCCATAAGATTTTAACGCGGTAATCCTAAAAAGTGGAATCCTTTCCTAATGTTTTACATTCAAAGTTGGTAAGATATGTATCCCTAAGTGATTGGTCCTCCAAATAGGGAAATTCACCCCGAACCTTGGTTCGGCTACGTGTGTATACTTTGCTAACCCTAACCTTTACCTCAGATTAGACATCACATCAATGTATGGTTTAGTTTTTACCCTCGCACCAATTGACATTAGACTATTAGATAGTATCACACTAAATCTCTGTTCATAATTTTTTTCTTATTAACTACTTCCTTGGTTCGGGAAGTAGCAACAAGGCAAGTTCTAACGCGTGCACTTGTTAAAAAGACTTCTAAGTGAAAGAATTACCAATATACGCATAAACACTATTCAAGAATTACTTAGTTATTATTCATACGTACTTATTTTCTCATGGTTCCCACAACCCTAGATGTGGATTTAGCTACTCATGCTTGGAAGAACACAATTCATGTTTTGATAAGAAGAATTCATGAACTTACGTTTAGAGTAGAAGAAACCCGAAATATCAAACTGAATTTCAAAGAAAAAATCTTATAAACCAAAATCCGGAAATCAAATTGCCAAAGTTTGCAAGTTAATTCCTAAGAAAATAACAAGAACTAAACGTAAACAATAATATCTAACCTCAAAAAATGAGGTTTGCATACCCTATTTATAGAAAAAAATGTCATAAACAAAAAGGAAACAAAATAAGAAAATAAACTTTTTGGAGGCGACTTCGATAGACGAGCTTGACCTATGGACCGTGGGTCGACCTACGTTCCATAGGTCCCCTTCATTCGTCAACACTTAGAACTTTTCCACAGAGGTTGGAACCTTTACTCTCAGATATAATACAACGGACGTGCAGAACAAACTGTAGGTTGACCTATGGTCCGTGGGTCCTCTTCCGTGGCTCCACAATTAGGAATTTCATCAGGTACTTGAACTTCAACCTCTCTGAATCATTCGATGGATGTGCCGGATGGCCCGTGGGTTGACCTACGATCCATCACTTGCATCCGTAGTTCCACACTTGTTCAGACTTCCCTAATGCTCCATCTACACCACCCATCGATGTACCATCACTGGACCTACGGTCAGTAGGTCACCTCCGTGGGTGGCTCCCTCTATAGATTTTCAACTGTCATCTCACACTTCCATGTCCAAGCCTATTTCCTGCAAATATAACACAAAAACATTAA